CATGGACTATTTGCAAAGGTGTGTAAAATTGAATAAGCACGGATTTTTTGACCACATGATACTTGGACTTAAACATGTTTTCTCGGTATACAGAAAGCTTGCTTCAAAAGACAAGTGGGTAGGCAATCGCCTCACTTATGTAAAGCATTTCGGAAATGACAGCACAAATAGAGTCGAAGGGACGCATGCCAACATGAAAAAGGCAATCATGTCCACAAGTGGCAATCTCCTAACTGCCTTTACGCAAATTGACGAGTTTTATCGATTGAAGGTTTATCTCTTGTAGTAATTATATTGATCCGTTAGTGACGCGGCTCTTACATGCTTTCTTCCTTATGTTAAAACTTGAATTGGAAGCGCCAGATCGACAAGGAAAGTTTTGGCGGAAACTCGCATATCCCACCACAGCAAAAGCAGCGTTTGGCAGCTTTGGAACGTAGAATTTCCAAGTTCGCTTTCTATGCCATCCGTGACGAGCTAACAGTCAATAATCCGTTAAAGACTGATCACTGCCAATGTGCAATCAAGTATCATTATGATATTCCGTGCTGCCATGTGCTTCCACCACAGGGTGAAATCCCCTTAAGCTTAATTCCCAGACGCTGGCACCTTTATCCTGAGAAAACGGCATCTCAAGGTAGTCATGGCTGTTATGTAAAAGCTGTTATATTTGTAACGTACAGTAGCTGATTTTTGTTGTTATTAGGAGAAGGAGAACCAAACACAACAAGCAAAAGCAATAGCAACATTTTGGCGATGACTGGTTCATTTATAGCCCCAAGCCTGGAATCGCAAATCGAAGGAGAGCTCACACGCCTCAACAATCTTGTACACCGCTTTCCAGATAATCAACAACGTGCAACTCTCCTCGCACACCTACAATCTATCAATGATGATATGTTCATCGACGTTGAGCAGCTTCAGCAGCCAAAATCAATCCCCAAAAGCACCCAAAAACCACAAAGCAGCAGCAACAAGCGTGAGCTGATCGCTTTAGACCATCAAGACTCTCAAAGCCGAAAGAAAGCAAACACCGGCATTGGTCGTGATGCTGCAGCAATATGGTAAAGTTTTATGCATTAAGATGTATAGCCTATTCTTTATTTAAATTTTTATAATCTATAGGAACGGAAAGATGGAGCCAACAACAACAACAACAACAACAACAAATGAAGCAAACAACATGGCACTTACCATCCCTCCTCCTCCGAAAATTCGCTTTGTACCCAACCTCAACCTTGTTTGCAAATGGATCCCTCCATCAGCTGTTGAATTGGTGCATAATCCCATGCCAGACGGTAACTGTGGCTTTCGGGCCTTAGCTGTTGAGCTGTATAACACAGAGAAGCGATACATCGATGTCAAGACCAAGATGCTCGATCAGTACCTCTCCAACGCCAATACGCTTTACCGATACTATGACAAGGGTCGTTTACTAAAAGTACTCGATCCATATTCAAGTGAATGGTTCGTCTCGCCTGAATGCAGTCAAATTGCCGCTGATACGTTCGAAACGCCAATTGTTATAGATGGCGCACAATCGCACATTTTCTTCCCTTTAACAACCAACCCAGTACACGCCAAGCGCACCCACCCGATCGTCCTCCAGCTTATTGGAAACCACTTCATACTCGTTGTGACCAAAAACGACGCAGCTATCCAGTGGCCTGAAATATTCCCTGAGGGTCGTGGACCACACAAAAGCATTCGCGATGATCCTTGGTATCCCCTTTCTGAAGATTCTTTTGAACGGTCTATTCGACCGTTTCCCAATTTCACGATTCCCAATGACGAAGAAGTGCATCCCATTCACGCATCTGATTCTGAGGGCGAAGACTTAACCACCTGTAACCGAAATAATTAATCAGCTACTTGACACTTGATCCTCTTACTTTTTCGCTACCTTTCTTACTTTCCCTGCCACTTTCTCTTTTTTAATTCTTTTTGCCAACACCTTATACTTAGACTAATAGACGAATCCTGTATCAATTTTCTTTATGCATACTGCCAATTCTTTTCAGTCAAAAGGGTGTGAGGGGGTGTGCACGAAAGAAATGTCAGCGGGGTGTGTGTAACGGAAATCCTACCTGGGTGTGACTGGGGGTGTGCATGAGGGGGTGTGCAAATAGACCTGCCCGCAGAAATTCATGACGCAAGCAAAAATGAATGGATTCCAATTGGAGCAGAGCTATATATTCCGACGTAGAAGATATAGCATTGATTGGCGGACAGTTGTAGTCATGGCTCTTCCATCAATTTTATCTCATGTTGTTTCTTAGTATCGTACGCTTGCAAACAACAGTGTGTACCTGAGGTTGTCATCCTTCAGGCGTAATACTAGCATTACGGGAAAGCAGTTGGGCTGAGAAAGCACACATGTTGTTTGTAAGCGTCTTCCTCCTTACATTGGCTGGAATCAGTAGCTTGAAAGACGGTGACAGCTTTCAAGTGAACACTGCTAGGTGGTGGCCATCAAAGTTGGTTGGTGGGCTGATTCATTTGGCCAATGTATTATGAATTGGTAATTCTATATTGCTGTCGGTAAGTGTCTCTATTTGTTTCTATGAAGGGATGGGAGATCACTAGGTTCATTTATTAATTTTATCCCATGTTGTTTCTTAGTATCGTACGCTTGCAAACAACAGTGTGTACTGAAGCTGTCATCCTTCAGGCGTAATACTAGCGTTACGGGAAAGCAGTTGGGCTGAGAAAGCACACATGTTGTTTGTAAGCGTCTTCCTCCTTACATTGGCTGGAATCAGTAGCTTGAAAGACGGTGACAGCTTTCAAGTGAACATGCTAGGTGGTGGCCATCAAAGTTGGTTGGTGGGCTGATTCCTTTGGCCAATGTATTATGAATTGGTAATTCTATATTGCTGTCGGTAAGTGTCTCTATTTGTTTCTATGAAGGGATGGGAGATCACTAGGTTACATTTATTAATTTTATCCCATGTTGTTTCTTAGTATCGTACGCTTGCAAACAACAGTGTGTACTTGAAGTGTCATCCTTCAGGCGTAATACTAGCGTTACGGGAAAGCAGTTGGGCTGAGAAAGCACACATGTTGTTTGTAAGCGTCTTCCTCCTTACATTGGCTGGAATCAGTAGCTTGAAAGACGGTGACAGCTTTCAAGTGAACATGCTAGGTGGTGGCCATCAAAGTTGGTTGGTGGGCTGATTCCTTTGGCCATGTATTATGAATTGGTAATTCTATATTGCTGTCGGTAAGTGTCTCTATTTGTTTCTATGAAGGGATGGGAGATCACTAGGTTACATTTATTAATTTTATCCCATGTTGTTTCTTAGTATCGTACGCTTGCAAACAACAGTGTGTACTTGAAGTGTCATCCTTCAGGCGTAATACTAGCTTACGGGAAAGCAGTTGGGCTGAGAAAGCACACATGTTGTTTGTAAGCGTCTTCCTCCTTACATTGGCTGGAATCAGTAGCTTGAAAGACGGTGACAGCTTTCAAGTGAACATTGCTAGGTGGTGGCCATCAAAGTTGGTTGGTGGGCTGATTCCTTTGGCCATGTATTATGAATTGGTAATTCTATATTGCTGTCGGTAAGTGTCTCTATTTGTTTCTATGAAGGGATGGGAGATCACTAGGTTTCCATTTATTAATTTTATCCCATGTTGTTTCTTAGTATCGTACGCTTGCAAACAACAGTGTGTACTGAAGTTGTCATCCTTCAGGCGTAATACTAGCATTACGGGAAAGCAGTTGGGCTGAGAAAGCACACATGTTGTTTGTAAGCGTCTTCCTCCTTACATTGGCTGGAATCAGTAGCTTGAAAGACGGTGACAGCTTTCAAGTGAACATGCTAGGTGGTGGCCATCAAAGTTGGTTGGTGGGCTGATTCCTTTGGCCAGTGTATTATGAATTGGTAATTCTATATTGCTGTCGGTAAGTGTCTCTATTTGTTTCTATGAAGGGATGGGAGATCACTAGGTTCATTTATTAATTTTATCCCATGTTGTTTCTTAGTATCGTACGCTTGCAAACAACAGTGTGTACTTGAAGTTGTCATCCTTCAGGCGTAATACTAGCGTTACGGGAAAGCAGTTGGGCTGAGAAAGCACACATGTTGTTTGTAAGCGTCTTCCTCCTTACAATGGCTGGAATCAGTAGCTTGAAAGACGGTGACAGCTTTCAAGTGAACACTGCTAGGTGGTGGCCATCAAAGTTGGTTGGTGGGCTGATTCCTTTGGCCAGTGTATAATGAATTGGTAATTCTATATTGCTGTCGGTAAGTGTCTCTATTTGTTTCCATGAAGGGATGGGAGATCACTAGGTTACATGTATTAACTTGTTTCCTAGAAACATACGATTGCAAACGACAATATATTCACCTGAAGCTCTTAGGCGTCATTATAATAATGTACTTAGTAATTTTGGTGCGTGCTGTGATCTACCACGCAATTCGTGATGGAGTCTTGCACTTGGATATCATTGTAAGGTTCCCATTGTAAGTTAAAAGTGTCAAACACAAACGCTTGTAACAAATGCTTCTATAGGCCGCTTTTGTTTATAGGTACACTTCGATGCTGAAGAGATAAGGTGGTGATTTGACAGAAGGTTGCCTGCCACCTTAACTAGGTGAAAGTGGTTCATCTTTGGGTTTCGGCTAAAGTTGTCTTGGTTTGTGCACTTTGGTTAAAACGACCTGCGTTACGTTTTTCAGCCGTGGAAAAATAGCATTAATATGTTCAAAACTGAATAATAAAAATGTCCCTATAATTTTGGGCCTAAGAATCCAGTGCTATGATTAGCAAGTGGTTATATAGATGGGGTACCTTAATGTGCTTTGCTATCTCTAGGACCTTTTTATTTCTGTTGGTGGGTTTTTGCGATTGCGGGTATGAAATGAATATCGAGTGGGTAAAAGGACATTTACTGCTACGATTGCGTTTGCATCGGCTCGTCTTCAAAAAAAAATGAATTACTGTAGTAGGCACTTTATCAAGTACGTTTCTTTAATGATTGTAAATGAAAAGGGTTAAAAGCTGGTCTTGCAGTCTCTGGAACATTCTCACTGCTTATGCTTGACTCTGCAGGCTGATCATTAAAAGGAGCAGACGCAGCTCCATCCGTCGCTTTTACCTTGAGGGCCGTCAAATGATTAGACATAATTAAGCGTGCACCCCAGTGGCGGATGCACTTGTCAATTGGAAACATTTCCTCGACTTCGTCTTGTAGCCTCTTGTAAAGCTGCTTGCGATGCGCTTTGGCTACATTGTTAGACCATTTGATGGACGCGTTGAGATTATAATATGTGCTGCCTTGAACTCACATATCACGGTATCATAGATAAGTTTGACGTGCTCTTTTCTGACCTTCATGTCATTTGCGGTCACAGGAGGAATGTCAAGTTCGGCTCTATGCTGCATGTTGGTACATACACTTTTGAATTAAGCGTCACCGCTGACTCAAAGCCTGCTGCTGCGTGGATCCCTAGCTTGCTCCGGTTTCTAACAACGAAATAAGACGGCTGGTTAGCTCTGCTTGATTTTTAGCTTGATCCGCTGATCGTTGGATAGAGAGCTCATCGCCTTGACATTTCTTTCTAGGTTCATCGCCTTGACATCTCTTTCTAGGTTCGTCATTGTGGTGATAATATGAGTATCTACTTTCGATACTCTTTCATCAGCTTCACCAGTTCGGCTTTAAAAAGTAGCTCTTTCATCGTCGGTAATGAAGATGCGTACGTTTCCTTCTGGCCATATGTCTTGTCGCATAGTCCGGAGGAGCCAGGTGTACAACTCTTCTTCCTCGTTTACCAAGAAAGTAGAGGCAATAAGCACGTTCTTTGAGCTTAGATGCTCCGAAGTGACTGACACCAACAACATTGACAAGAGACATCTTGGTTCTGCTCGTTTTGTACGTCGCATCGCTAGCAATGATCTCATTGCATCGTCGTGCTTTTGCTGTTTCATGGGTACGATGAAAAAAAGGGCGTCGAGACTTATACCTGTGCCGTCTAGCTTATATCTAGTGATATAGTTGTTACCAATGAGAAACTCGAATATCCTACTGAAGCTGCCATGATTATTCTCACGGAATATTTATGCACGAAAATTGTACAGAACCCTCATGGTTATAATTACGCTGTCTTCGTGGTTCTGAATTTCTCGATGTATCATGGGGGCCTGGCTGAATTATCGGTCAATGATAATATTTGCTGCTCGGCATGGAGAGTTGGCGTGCGGTGTTGATGGCAATACTGAGGAGGCATGTAGAGGGTGTGGTTGTGCTCGTCGTCGTTGCTGACCTTCGTTACTTTCTAGTGCTTATCCTTCTAGCATAGATAGACGTGACTTAAAACTTTTGTTATATGATACCATCCATTTCCGTATCTCATGACAACCAAACTTTACGTTACCACCGACATGAACAGGGGCAAGCTGTGCGCTTAATACTACAAACATTACATCAATAGAAATAGCAAGTCAGCGTCCCTCCAACCCTATAGAAGATGTGCAGGTGATGTATGTATTTAGTAATAAGAACATACAGATGATGTCCTTGATCCAATTTGACAATACAAGATACCTTGGAAGCTGTTGAGGTAGAGTGGAATTGAGAAGTAGCGACAATTCTATACAGAAGAGGAGAAGACAGTGATACAAAGAATGAACGAAAGCGTGTATATACATACGGTTTATTGTCTCTCTGGTTAAAGATGATGTGTAGATGTTTCAACAAATTACATACATTTTGAAAGTTCTGTGATGATGGTACAAAGCACAATCAATGATGGATAAAAGAAAGAGTTTTCGTTAGTTGCGCATAAAAACATGTTGTACAGCATGCATGTTGCTGCCATCTTCTTCGTCTCCTTTTTTGTAAAACAATGGTCCCCCGTTAATTTCAAACTTGACTCCCAACTTCTTTGTGAAGATAACGGATTGTGCAGTGGCGAAATCTATGTGTGAGCCACCGGGCCACACGGCACAGGGAACTAAGTTCAGTTGGAACTTCGTCGCTGGTACACATTGCATTGAAAATAGGTCAATCTAGTCAGAAGCTATATTGGATAATAGGCTATGTAAATTACGTGATCCATATAGTGACAACTTCATGAGCATTGGTAATTCGTGTACCGTACGTGGGAGTTTGCCCTAGCATCCGTTAACTTTCATCGCATTAAATATGGTGATCTATCCCACAATACCGTCAGTTTCCGCTTTAATCCAGGTGAGCGTTAGCGAAAAATTGCATATATTTATCCCATCATAATTGACAACTATAGTTTTATTCTTGAAACTTGAAAAAAAAATATGCTGATTTCAAACGTAAAACACCAATCCGCAGCTAAACTCGCTGCTATTGTTGCTTCGTTATAAACATTTAGAAATGAGGGTTTTGAGATAACTCTTCCAGATCTGTCCCGTATTCTTCAATGTACTTTTCGTGCTGACGGATCGCATGCTGGTAATTTGAAATCAATGTACGGGCCTTGATGTTGACCGTCGGATGATTCGACAGACCTTTATGTAATGCGTCAATAGCAAGCACATATCTTGAGCATCCTGTTTTTGTGTGGTAACGCCTTAGTAAGCTTATAAAGATCTCTTCCTTCGTTCTATCGTGGAGCAGCAACAAATCTGTGACAAATCTTACCAGTCGCCGTAAGCATTCGGAAAGGAGTAGTGGTGGTTCCCTCCTCGCTGAATCCATGCTATCGATAGGCATAATCATAAGTAAAATCTTTATCACACACAATTTTCTGTTTCTGTACATATTGTAGTATAACATTCAAACGCGAAAGGATATGCATATACGTACCACAGACATGCGTCTGCCACTGACACGATCATAAGCAAGATTCTGGATGGCCGAAGGCTATCCATAGAAATTGAAAATGATGAGTTTCCCCAGTGTGAAAATAGCCTCGAATTCGTCTTGGGACAATCTATGCGAATGGGTCCGACCAAGCACCATGAAATCCGTAACATTAACTAGACGCACACGTGAATTGCGATAATCTTTATTGAGTAAAGCTGCAGCTGCCACGGCCTCAAATGTTGTCTCGACACCACATCCGACAATCACAACGTCTGGTTCTTTACCGCCATCTGTGCTATACTCGGACCATACGGATACACCGGCTCGACAGTGTTCGGCGACTTTTTCGGCTGAAGTGATCCAAAGCAGCGAGCGTGTGGTCTTGGCGCTAATAAAAGAAGGCCAGATTTTGGTGACTGAACCCATTATGCTCGTGTCGCCATAATGTGCTACTTTACAAGATTCAAAGCGAGCATGTGAGTTCTGTTTCTTCCTTCTCATCTGAATACGTAAGTAAAAAAAATGCCTTCTTTTACCTCCATGTAATTGATGGATGGCACTGGTCTTCGCCATAGCGTTTCTTGTCCCATTTTCCAAAACTTGGCATATTGGATCAGCATAGTCGTTATGATACCAACGAACCTTTTATATTTGATTAAAAACGAGCATAGTCTCTCTATTACTGTTGAAAGAAAAGTACGAATGCTACTTACGGTTCTTAGCTTGAAAATTAAATCTGTTCTTCCAGTTAATGTATAGCCTTGCAGAAGACCCTGACAAGTATGCTCTGAAAGTACCTCGATGATCCGACCGTCGGTCTTTGGTGAAGAGATCATTATCCCACTAGAATGTACATACATATATCAGCTTATCATGAATGCTACAGAGAGCTTTATGTGTATATTTACCTCCATAGTACGAATTGTGGCGTCGAGTACACGCTTCAACTTGTTCGATGTCAATTCGTCAGGCGAAAAGATCCTGAACGTGCTTTGAATACGCTTGAATACAATAGGCTTCGAATTCCGTGTCATTATCGGTTGTTGCTCTTTTATAATTACTTTGCATCTCTGTCGATTCAGTGATCATTTTCTACAAGATAAAAAGTATATTATTCCTTAGCTCTCGAATGTAAATGTCTCCGCCCCTTCTATCTTTCTTTTTTATTTAGCATCTTACCATAACCAAATCCAAGCTACGGAGAAGTTTTAGTAGTATGGTACCATCTCTCAAATCGGCGTATGTGCGAGGATATCGGAAATCACATACTTCTTGTAACGTATACAGTTTCTTATCAATCAAAGTCATTGAGTATACAAAGCAAGTGGTACCCAATGCCTGAATTATCGGTACTTGAATACTTTTGACCATTTTCTCTGTTATGTTCGGCATTTTCTTCAGGATAGAGTTCAGGTGCGCTTTTGATACAAGTACGGATTCAAGTCGATCTTGGATATTGTCACAGCTGCAACCTTGACAACTTCGCCAGTTGCTGCTTCGATGTGAGTGGTGTAATTAGTCGCCAAAACCCGGAGATCAAGGTTGAAAAGATGCCGTACTTGCTGGATGCTTGAACTCGTGTCGCCCCTGATAAAAAGAATGTTAAAAGTGCTTTGCTCCATTCTTTCCTCCATTCTCCCTCATCACTCCCCCAAATCCAGTTCCTAATTTACCACTGTAACTGGATATCTTGATGGTATGAGAAGTAGGCCTCAAAGACCATTCCCCAGTATTTACCTATCAATGATGTTTCGGAGCATCCCTCAAGATATTTATCTGATAGTATGTGCGATTTGAATGCATGTTGTTTCAATCTAGAAAATAGGCAACGTGAGATCTTCCCCATTCACTGCTGGTTACATCGCTCGAGTTATCGTGTTCTAATAACTTACATGTTAATGACTACATCGATCGATGCCATTTGCTTTTTTTCTGTCGTAGATCTGCTTGTCAATTGTTCGATGCAATTTTTCGCAGAACTTGGACCGTCAACCTGCAATTGTAAATAATATGAATATCAAACTGTATCTTAGAATCATCCAGGTACTCGCACAATCATACATTTTTTAATAGGCGTTTGTCATCCGCATGGAGATAATCATCACAGTCTTCAATTTTTTTGGGTGGTGAAGCATTTTCAACCTTGCCAACAATATTCTTTTTGGTATTGCTACCACCATCAAGAGCATGCAGTTGTGACCCATCTTTATCGTCACTGATGTCTATGATTTATTACGGCTGAGTCTATAAAGAGACCGAGAAGGTTAATGCAATAGAACCAAAAAAAGGATAAATAAAAGAACAACTGGGAACACCTTACATAAAAAAATAACGTTTACGCATGGTCATTATAGAAATTTAATCATTTCATTGTACCAAGCTTGAACCGAGGGTGCCCTTGAAACCACTAATTTTGGTGGCATGGTGAAACCTAACTGTTTTTAAACCAATGGATGTTTGTTATATAATAAGTGAACGATGGACACGTGTTTTTGTTTTCGTACTCTGTGTTTTTTACAGGCCTTGGCCTCTGAGAATCGTAATGATGGCGGTTGTTTTTCGGATGTTGACCATGCAACAAAAAGCCACAATTTAGAATTCTTGAAAAGTAACACACAGAGCAGAGTGTTCTTCCCTTTTTCCCTTACCAAGGTTTTATTTATAACATGAGCAATCGCATCCAACACTTGATCACTTGCTAGTTGAAGCTGTTGTTGCTTCATGGCCTGCTGCTTGTACGTTTATGCTAAATCCATAGCAGACATTTTGAAAGATACTAATGGAAAAGAGTAAAGAAAGGTAGACGAACGCGCAGCACTTCTGGTGGACCTTTCTTGAATGGCAATAATCAAACTCAGTTCCCATGAATTCCGGCAACACGCCAGATCTCTCAGCTATTATTCGCCATGTGAAAAATAGTAGGCACTTCCATTTACGAACATTTGCACACCCGAGAACGAAAAACATAGTTGCTCAGTAAGGATCTTTTTTTTTGTATACGTATCGATTGCTCAGTAAGGATCATCTTCTTGCTCACTGCAAAAAATTTATTCCGATTTGCAAAGTTCTAATAACCCAGGTACGAACAAGCTTTGCGGTTCATAGGGACCGCTGAAGTTTCGGCGGGGTTAAGGCTCCTGGGGCAAGATTCAGCCAACCATTTTGAAAGTTAAGGGAAAGTGCTCTCTACGCATTACTCGGGTATTTAAACAGACTCTGTAACATTTGTCTAATCAAATTATGATTTAAGGATGTGTTGTTACAGTTACACATAGGAACATAGTTCTGGTGGCGCTTCTTACAAGAAAGAGAGAGCGTTTTCGCACCCACACTCAACGCTTTTCTTTCTTCTATTTGGTAATTATCCTAAAAATATGGAATATCTCCTCATCTACAGTAAAACGCGGTCGCGGTAGACCCAAAGGGAGCAAAAACAAGAAGCAAAAAACCAACGAACCTCCGGCTGGGCAACGCACGCTTTAGTTCTGGACGCCGCGTCCCACCCCATCCACGTTTGACACGAGCGACCATTCAGTCGATACAAGTTCTAAGCAACAAAGCGAATAAGCTCATACTGATGTACATAATGGCTTTCGTGCTCTTCTCCGGCCTCCCAAAATACTGAAAGCTGGCCGCCACGTAGGTGGTGACATGAAAAAGCTCCATCGTGATTACTTTATATCATGTAGCGAAAATACGGCACTGGAGCTTGGCAAATTTTCTCGTAGGCGTGGCTTTGTCGACAATGGAGGAGTGTCGTTATCTGTGTTAGCAGAAGCAGTGCTAGGCGTCCCATTGGAGAAGGTTATTAGGAAGAGCGATTGGGAAGCACGAGATCTTTCGCCTTACTCAAATATATTATGCAGCACTGGATACTTGGGCATCACTTGCTATATACACAAAATTTGCCCCATTTCTTACCGTTGGTAAAGCCATACCGTGGCCCGTACCACAAGGAGCATTTGAAGCAATATCGTCGGCTAGCCTATGGTCACGTCCGATTGCTTATGGGGAAATAACTCAAAACGGGCATCAGGTTAGTTTAATATGTAAGCTTTTTAAATGAAAAGCTCGCTAATACATGTAACTATTTATTTGTTGCTAGCATATGCGTGATAGCACCATAGTACAAATATATAATGTCGCCATCCAGGGTGCAATAATCAGTGTATATGAGAAGACTTTAGCCGATTTCGGTCAACCACCGTTTACAATCAAATTACCTACGTCCATGCTACGATTCGAAAAAAAAATCGCTGTGCTAGCAACAGCACTGTAATACATGTAGCTCAACAGATGCAGAAACCGTGTATCACAATGGATTCGAACTCGCCTTATGATGCTTTGTGCGAAGACGACGGAAACTCGGAAGAGCTGTCGTCATCTGATGAAGAAGCGGACGACGTTTGCAACAATCAGATTAGATCGACAACTCCAATGATTGCTGACTCTATACAGACCGACATAGCCAGCTTTGAAGCATAGCAGTATAGTTCGCACCAAACCAACCAAAATCCATCTAGAGTTTTAAAAGATATATATCATTTCATGGCATTAATTATAGTGCCCAAGCGCCACACGCTTGCAAAGGAGTTCAGCCGCCGACTACGTGATGCAATCTTCGTTGTGGATCTCACGACAGACGAAAAGTGGAGGAATACCTAGCAAAACAAGGACTAACTTGGACATGCATGTTCAACAGCAACCCTTATTGGATTTTACGAAGAGTAAAGCGTTTTGTGCCACCACCGAGCGAACTCGAGCCTGTTATTCAAAACCTGTTCATGGAGTATGGCAACCTCATCTGCACAAGCACAGGACGAAGATTATTCGACAATGATGCTCGCCATCAAGATCAAAATATGCTCAAAGCGATTTATGAAGGCCAAATTCAGACCATCCTGATGTGCCGATGTATTTTAGAATTATATACGACAAGAAAGCAGGCTTACCACTATATCGCTGTTGTCGCGGCACCAACTCTCTCGAGGGAGGGGTTCATGAAAACATTATACGCGCTACTGGTTCAAGTGGAGCTGGACCCCACATGGCCCATTGTTTTTTGGCTGAAATATCGTCTTCGACACAACATCAGAGTAAGAAGCATATGTAGCATGTCGTTTTATCATATAGCATTACTTATAAAGAGTTTTTTTTTAAAAAAGGTTGGCACCATGAATCGCTATCAGCGTCTGCATAAAGGTCATTATGACCCCTGGCTCACCGAGGCACTATTGTATCTACGAATGAAACTTGGCATTGTTGCAACTGGTGGTTCTATTGTGGAACACGGCGCAAGCATTTTCACGCCAGGCTTACAGTTGCAGGCATCTGATGAAACTTTTGGTGTATCGAGAATGGCAGCTGATGTTGCAGAGGAGCTTGGTATACACTTAGCGACGGCGGTAACGCAGCAGCAACACAACCAACATTTACCCATGGTACGCTCACACGCTCTTGACATAAGCATCAACATATTGCTACCATCCGGCTCGACAGCAAACCAAAAAAACAAACGATATGTGTTTCTTGCTGACAAGCAAGGTGTTAAATACGCTGTAACGCCGATCCATACCTAGAAAAATTTCATCAAGTTCAACAACATCATACCGAAGGGAAGTATCAATGCATCACAATGGGTAGACCTGGCTAAAAAGGTGGAATACATGTACCTTGAACGAAGTCGGTGGATCAACGATATCTTATAAAACACCAAACCATCTAAAGTTACATTTTGAGCGCTGGGATGAAAGGAGAATGACAAGTGCAAGTACTGCAATTAGTAATGATGTTTGCGATACAATGAGAGAAGATCTTCAATCACCGAGTAGAGGGCAATCTATGCTACCTGCCAATACCCTTCACGTCCACCATTTGCGATTACACCTCCCTTAACAGCACCACAATACCCGCCGTCATTCCCAGCAGCGGCAACTGCTCAAACAACAGCGACGGTATCAACATCTGCAACGACGATACAAACCTATTCACCCCCTACAGCAAGAAGAATAGCGCCTGCGCTAGCGTCGTCAAGTATATCATCAGAACCCTTGTTCCGTGTCAATGTTAATATCCCAAAAAAAAGAGCACGACGCAAAACCATTACAGGTCATATTCCACAAAACCGTGTACATCCCTAGCTACATAGACAGCAGCTATTACCGTGACTATACCTAGTAGTACTACAGATAGCATTGTAACTTCACAATAAACCTTAGCCATCTTTATCATCACAAGAGCGCGGCTTTATAAAGCGCCATGCCTTGACCTCAGTAAAATAAAATATAAAATAGTAATTCTTCCCCAGGAATACTACTAGGGCCATATTATTAGTCTTTTTCAACCAAAATCTCGAACAAGATGTCTGACATTAACAACAACACTCCCACTACCAACTCCACTCGAGGCTTTGGTTGGACAATTGAAGAGGACACGTTGCTGTGCAAAGCTTGGGTTGATAAGACTGTGAACAGTGCACAAGGCACGAATCAGCGTAGCGGTCTAAAGCCCAATGGGTCAGGTTTTTGGAAGGACGTACATGATGAGTTCATATCGAAAATAGGCGATATAACCCGCCGAAGTACCTCTGGCTCTATGCTGAGCAGATGGGGTAACATACAGAGGGAGGTAGCTCGGTTGTATGGCTGTTTAGCGCAGGTCACAGCAGGACAAGGAAGTGGTCAGAATGATACGTCATTAGTAAATAAACATTTATCCTAACAGCACTACCAAAACCATAAATATTTACATTGATCGTCATCGTGTAACTCGGTCTTGCAAAAGACTTGTTCAGGCAAACATCGCCAACGAAGAAGGCTCGCTTCAAGCTTGACCATTGCTACAAGCTCCTTCATATCAGCCAAAGTTCTTGATCCGTTACGTAGAGAAGTCTACTAGTAACAGTGTCCCTGCCGAAGGATGCCAAGCCCATCCAATTGGTCGCAAGCAAGTCAAGAAGCAAAAGCAAGAGGCTTCTTATAGCAAGCGTAAACGCCAAGAAAGCAACACCGAAGCCTTGGCTATTTAATGAGAGCAATGTCGAAACGACAGAGAAAGGTTCGACATGGAACGAGAGCTTGCCGACTACCACTTAATGAGTATGAGTTTGGATGGCATGGAGGAGCTCTCTCGTACAGTACCTATTTTTTATAACGCAAGAGAAAGGCACTTAAGAGACTGGAAGAAGCTGAAGCTGAAGCTGAAGCCGAAGCCAAACTTGAAGTTGAAGACCATGCTTGTGTCCCACAAGAGGGACAAGATGGATCTGATACCGAAACAGAAGCAGAAGCAGAAGCAGAAGCAAAGCAGAAGCGTAAGCTATTATCATATTAATAAATGTTTATATAAAAAAACTCATTTGCTTAAAGTCAAAGTACAGTATAATCATAATGTTTTTTATAGAAAGAAATAAATTTTTTAAGCACTGTTGCCATGATGAGCCCATAAATGTTCAATGAGATCTTCTTCCAGTTGATGGTGTACAGTTTCATCTCTGATCTCACTGTAGCATTGGAAAAATTCCATCATCATATTAGGATTTCTCTCAACTACTAATGATGGCACAGGCCCTTCACATCTCACTTCCTCGTGCTCTTCATTTTCATCCGGGACTTCGCGGTCACTCTCAATTATCATATTATGCATGATGACACATGCCTTCATGATAATGGTCAACTTGTTGAGATCCCAAAGCTTTGCTGAATGTCGGATCACTGCAAATCTTGCTTGTAGGATCCCAAATGCACGTTCAACATCCTTACGCCAAGCTTCTTGCATTCTAGCAAAAAGCTGATATAAGATGAGTAGAGAGCTCATTAAGTATAATGGTTCATTGTTACCTTCTTCTTTTGCTCGACCGGGTATGAAATTGTATTGATAAACATTGCCCATGGTGGATAAATGCCCTCAACCAAATAATACCCTTTATCATATTCATGACCATTCACAGTGAACTTGATCGCGGGCATAAGATCAGAGGCTGTGTTGGTGAACAATGGGGATCGGTGGAGGACATTGATGTCGTTCAAGGATCCAGGAAGGCCAAAATGCGCATGCCATATCTATGTTTCATAGTTGGCCACGGCTTCTAAAATGACTGTTGCGACCTTCTCCTTGCCTTGATATTGTCCTGTCCAACCGGAGGGACAGTTCTTCCATTCCCAGTGCATGCAGTCGAGAGATCCAATCATGCCAGGGAATCCGCGCCCTTCACTGTTGTTGAGGATACGATCGAGGTCTTCTTTTGTTGGACTTCGAAGGTATTCCTCACCGTGGTTCTCGATGACGCCCTCACAAAAATACTCCAGACATTACAGAGCAGTACTTTTGCCCCAGCGTACATACTCGTCCACTGTATCAGCCGAGACACTGTAAGCAAACTGTCGGATTGCAGCAGTTGCCTTTTGCAAGGGTGTCAATCCAGGTTTCAATGTAGCATCGTACTTTTGAGGGGAAGTACTAATGCTTTTCTACTAATCCCTCGAGTATCTTATCAAACATGTTCCTAGACATGCGGAAGCGGCGTCTGAACAAACTTTAATATACATTGGATTATCCGAGAAGTAGTCAGCATAAAGCCTATCATGACCTTCGACGCGACTACGGTTGATAGTTTTGCGACCAGCAACAGAACCTCCTCTACGTTTTGTTTGCTCTTCGTCTTCGGAATCTTCTTCGATCGTTATGAGACGTGCCAATAACCGACGGCGAGTGCGTCGTTTGGCATCTTCTTCGAGCATTCTCTTTAGTTGGTTTTCCATGTTATTTTGAATATATAGTTGGGAGAGTCAAAGGGAGTTTTACAGTAAAGTTTTATTTTGGAACACGAAATTGGCACAACCGCTGGGGATGCTCTAAGGATGCCAGAATTGAAAGGAGCCTAAAAAACGCACAATCGAACTAGAACATTATCTCTGGAGCCAAGAAACGATGTTAGCGATGCTGACTCAGTTGCTGATAATGACGATGATAATGAAAGTATCATACGTGGAGCCGATAGCGTACAACAGAACCAAATGGCCTTGCAGTATCTGAAGTAGATCAAGAAAGTCGTGTGTTCGGGGAACAAGAGCTGCATACCCTTCCGCAGCATTCACGGAACGATCCAGAAAACCGGCTACAATGGTTTTGAAAAAATGCATTCCATCTCATGGACCAAGCAAGAGTACCGCGCAGACATGATCTAGCAGATGACTTTTCAAGGCGATTTCGTGACGCACTCTTTGTTGTTAATGCAGACGACAAAAAACGTTTTGAGGAAGTTTTTATGAAACAAAGAACGACATGGGAATAAAAACTTGTTTAAAAAACCATCATGGGTGTTCAGGCGTGTTAAGCGTAAGCAAACAAATGAATAATTTTTACAGCTTTGATGCATCACTGCATAACCTTACATTGCTTTTTTGAAGGTAGTACACCGCCTCCCACTGTACTGTATCCTGACATCAAGCAGCTTTTGATGCATATGGGCCATTGAAATGTGCTAGTCAACGGTGTCACCATTTTCTACAGAACACTCGAGTACATCGAATGCTACTACAAAGCACGAAAAGAATACGAAAACATAAAAAGCACTAAGAACAGCTACAGAAATGTACTCCAGCGCTTAGAAATGCAATACAGATCGGCAGACAGAAAGCATCATACCAGACTCCTAAACACTTTCTACCCTGAAGTTCCTCGCTTGCAAATGGCTTCCAACATCTACCAGCAGCATCAGAAAAACATCCTAGCAACGACCATATCATCAGCTTCGACAGCCACGTTTGGTTCTGCCAGTGTTATCTATCCAATGGAAACAACCCCAGCAACAAACAACCATCGATACAGGTATATCACAGCTGCAGGAGCCAGAAACAGAACCGGCACCATTAGAAGCACCACCAAGGAGCATTTTGATGGTCTTCCGCTAAGAGGCGTGCCAAACGGTGCTGTAAAGTGTGCAAGTCATCCAAATGTAGTGGCAAAAACTATCGTGCTGGATGTCCCCAGAACAGTTAGCAAATCAAGTATCATTGAGTAGATCAATCAGAATTACATGTGTCCTCAAAAACTCAATTAAAACAGTTGCACTGATAATTTTAATTCTGTCGGCCCCACCTATGATACCTGAGCCATTATTCTGTGTCTATGGCAATAAAGTAGTAGTGAGCGCTGATCATTTTATGGTTAACAACACGTAAATCCCTTTCGCCTGCTTCGCGCTAGTTATTATGACTAGTCTTGCCTTGTGCACTCTAAGTCTTTTTTTTTTTGTAAACTACAGTACATCCTCAAAATTTTTTATGCACTTGTAATGACCAAATGATGATGGTTTTTATTGTTTATGTTCTTTTAATCTTCTTCACTCGACGTGCTTTCTTCCTCTTCATTTGTAGCACTCATTTCTTCCACAACTCCGTCCCACTCAACATTAGCTACCCAATCACTTAACACAATCGGCTTCGATTTCCGTGTTGTTTTCTTCAAGATCATTTTCACCTTATCGGTCGTTGTTCTGCTATAGTTACTTTGCATCTCTGTCAATTCAGTGATCATTTTCTACAAGATAAAAAGTATATTATTCCTTAGCTCTCGAATGTAAATTTCTCCGCCCCTTCTATCTTTCCTTTTTATTTAGCATCTTACCATAACCAAATCCAAACTACGGAGAAGTTTTAGTAGTATGGTACCATCTCTCAAATCGGCGTATGTGCGAGGATATCGGAAATCACATACTTCTTGTAACGTATACAGTTTCTTATCAATCAAAGTCATCGAGTATACAAAGCAAGTGGTACCCAATACCTGAATTATCGGTACTTGAATACTTTTGATCATTTTCTCTGTTATGTTCGGCATTTTCTTCAGGATAGAGTTCAGGTGCGCTTTTGATACTAGTACGGATTTAAGTCGATCTTGGAAAAGTTTTGTTTCCGTCACAGCTGCAACCTTGGCAACTTCGCCAGTTGCTGCTTCGATGTGAGTGGTGTGATTAGTCGCCAAAACCCGGAGATCAAGGTTGAAAAGATGCCGTACTTGCTGGATGCTTGAACTCGTGTCGCCCCTGATAAAAAGAATGTTAAAAGTGCTTTGCTCCATTCTTTCCTCCAATTCTCCCTCATCACTCCCCCAAATCCAGTTCCTAATTTACCACTGTAACTGGATGTCTCGATGGTATGAAAAGTAGGCCTCAAAGACCATTCCCCAGTATTTAACTATTAATGATGTTTCGGAGCATCCCTCAAGATATTTATCTGATAGCATGTGCGATTTGAATGCATGTTGTTTCAATCTAGAAAATAGGCAACGTGAGATCTTCCCCATTCACTGCTGGTTACATCGCTCGAGTTATCGTGTTCTAATAACTTACATGTTAATGACTACATCGATCGATGCCATTTGCTTTTTTTCTGTCGTAGATCTGCTTGTCAATTGTTTGATGCATTTTTTCGCAGAACTTGGACCGTCAACCTGCAATTGTAAATAATATGATTATCAAACTGTATCTTAGAATCATCCAGGTACTCGCACAATCATACATTTTTTAATAGGCGTTTGTCATCCGCATGGAGATAATCATCACAGTCTTCTATTTTTTTGGGTGGTGAAGCATTTTCAACCTTGCCAACAATATTCTTTTTGGTATTGCTACCACCATCAAGAGCATGCAGTTGTGACCCATCTTTATCGTCACTGATATCTATGATTCCATTACGGCTGAGTCTATAAAGAGACCGAGAAGGTTAATGCAATAGAACCACGAAAAAGGGCAAGTTAAAGAAAAATGGGAACACCTTACATCGAAAAATAACGTTCACGCATGGTCTTTGAAGGAAGTTCATCACTCAATTTTACTAAGTTTGAACCAAGGGTGCCGTTTAAACCACTGACTTTGGTGGCATCCGGTGAAACCTACCAATGGATGTTTGTTAAATGATAAATGAACGATAGACACGTGTTTTCAATTTCGTACTTTGCGTTTTTTACAGGCCTTGGCCTCTGAGACTCGTAATGATAGTGGTCGTTTTTCGGATGTTGACTATGCAACAAAAAGCTACACATTAGAATCCTTAAGAGTAACACACAGAGTGCTCTTCCTTCTTTTCCCTTACCGAGGTTTTATTTATAGCATCAGCAAACTCATCCAACACTGCTTGTAATTGAAGCTGTTGTTGCTTCAAGACCTGCTGCTTGTATTTTTTTGCTAAATTTGTTGCAGACATTTTGAATGATACTAATGGGAAAGAGTAACGAAAGGTAGAAGAATGCGCTGCACGGGCCCTTCTTGAATGGCAATAATCAAACTCAGTTTTTATGGATACCAGTGACACGCCAGACAAAAGCTGTAGGCGATCCTAGTAATACCGATGCCACTTCATGGCTTTCCCCGGCAACAAATCCCCTCCCAGCCCCACTCATCTCCACCGAACACTTTAAGCTGGAAAGGATTGCTCAATCTGTATATGTATCGCTTATTCACACCCAGTCTCGTACAGATGCGACTGACAGTGGAACAACCACCTACTTTACATGCGCGCGGCGTGTAGCCGCAACTTGGGGTAGTGTCCTGTCCGACGTCAGCCCGTGTCCTGATGATGTCGACGATGTCATCCTGAAGACTATGGAGGTTTTCCAAGGCAACCGCGGCATTTTAACTCACCGAGAAGGCAAAGGTATGCTTCTGGATGGCAACCTAAAAACCGAGCAAGAGCGTCACCGAGCGACAAGTACAAGCATTCAGTTCTCGCCCATGACAACTATTGTTGCAACGCCCGCTATTAGGCTTCGTCTCACCAATTTGCCTCTCTTTGATTTTGATGATTTAGAGCGAGGCCTACGCTCGTCACTGAATCCTTCTGCTGTTGTTCTTGATGTTGGCTTCACATACAGCCCTAAAACTCAGGCATACTGTACATGGGGCCACGGCATTGCTGTCACCGAAATGGCCCACCTGGATTGACCTTCGCTTCTGGATCATGCCGTCGCCTGGTGTGTCAATAAAAATGATCCTATTTTCGCTTCATACCAAGTGCCTTTGCACTGTACCAATTGCCACGCACGAGGCCACAACGGCCGCGGCTGCCCACGAGCACGGCGCAACCAAATAGCCTGCAGCGCATGTGGGTACCCAGGTCATGTGGCCATCAATTGTCCTACGCAACGCCGCAACAAGAACGAATGGACACAAGGATCATTGTGAAAAAAGGTTCGCACCCATCGGTGGAACTGACCAAGTCCAAACATGCGCCTGCCACGCAACTCGTCCAGGATGGAGAGTCCGCCGCTGCTAACGGCGACCACGACCGGACCCAGGACAGCAGCAAATCTGCGTCGCCTGTGGTGACCGACAGCAATGAGGATACGAAGGAAGACGATGAGACCCATGGCATATCGCTCGCGAATGACCACTTCCTTTCCATCGAAATCTTTTTGGAGGACTCGATTGCTCCGTACTTACAAACTACAGAACCACCACCAACTGTTCCCCGAGATTCTCAACGAGGTGTCGCGCACTCAACCACCCGACAGCTTTCTGGAGACCGTCGAGATCTCAGTTCCTGCCAAACAGGCCATCCGCGTGAAGGCTAGTACGGTCACCGACATGAGCGTCATGTACGTTCTCCTGGCCCATGCTCGCACAGCAGCCATTCAAAAATATGAAGATGCTCTATTGAGTGGACAGGCAGCCTGGGCGCAAGCGTACGCCGCACTATTGACCCCATTGCTGGTCTATCGACCATAACTAACCTCCAATAACTCTATCTTAATGTTAAACAATAGCAATATCTCGATACTATCGGTCAGCTGTAAAGGCCTCATAAAAACAAACAACCCCACCAGTCGTTCCCACTTTATTTGTCACCTTAGTGAGCAACAAGCTCATATCATCAGCTTCAAGAAACACACGCCACATCATCAACTTTGAACAACTTTTTCACAACCAATTCAACCCATCACAATCGTTTCGAACGCACCATTGTGGTATTGTTTCCCACTGTCCTGGTATTGCCATCACACGCTTATCAATACTCGACGGCCCTCGCATCATTTTCATCCGCGTCGATCATTGCCGGCACGAATTCTCACCATCTGATTTCTTACCACTTTACGCTCCTGCCCACTCTGCGCGCAGCCGACACCAATTTTTCACAACACTTCAACAATCACCATCTTCGCCCCCGACCAACCATATATCGAGGGGCTTGTCATCACAGACGACTTAACTACAGCTATCAGCGACCGAACTATCAAGGCAATGCGCCTATCGAATGGCACCACATGCTGCAACATCAATTTGTCAACTGCATCAACCCTGATCCATCAAGCGCCCCTCTTCCAATGTTTCGATGAGGTATACTAACTATGTCCACCATCGACTAGACCTATGTTTCACCGACTACCATCTTTCAAAAATATGGTGAAGGCTAGAGAAGTGTCATACTTGGCCCCAAACTGGTCTGCACAACTAGTCGATACTATGGTTATGGGCTCTATAGTCAATACGAGTAAAGGTTACTTGCGTGGCAACCCACTAATCCTAAAGTATAAGGACTTTCGTCGCCAACTCGCTCAACACCTGTCTAGTTTTTTCAACACACTTGACCCCACTCTCACCGCTCGAGAACATTGGGAGCAACTCAAAAGTGTGCTCAAAAAGCAAATGCAGCGGATTCTGCCGCCAACGTATATTAACAAGTCCGGAAATACCTTGCATTCTGCAATCGAAGCGCAACGCATTTTTACGAAGCAATCCACCACCCAACATCCGTGCTGGCGCTGCCGTCATGGAGCGACACATTGCCCTGCACAATAAGAACTGTGCGACACTCTAGCTCTGCGATCCAACGACGTTGGCGTGAGTACGGCGAAAAATCTGCGGGCTATTTGAAGCGTACGGTCGGCCAACGTACCCAGCAGCCCAATATTTCGCCCCTGGCGCATCCGCAAACTAGTAAGATTTGCAACACAGTTATCGACATGCAAGCGGCTACATGCGCCTTTTACGGAGATCTCTACACCCCGGACGATGTCAATGAGACAGCCCTGCAACGATTCCTCGAGCACATATTAGAGCAGACACGCATACGCACGGACCACATAACATTGATGACTACAACGTTTACTTTACCCGGTCTCCAAACTGATGCCGCTCGCGCTCCACGCCGTAGCAGTCCAGGGCCCGTTGGCTTACCGTACGAATTCTGATCATTGGTGTTTAAACACCCTGTAGCTGAGCCTCTTATCTTGTGGATATATGATGATGCACTGACTCATGGCGCTTATCCAGCGCCCTGGTTTGACATCTGTATTCGCTTGTTTCAAGTAAGGTGATCTCAGTTCACTCAAAAATTGACGACCGCTTTCTATGGGTAACCGCACTCAAAAGTATTCACACGCTTGTTGAACAACCGCATTGTCACGGCTGCCGATCCCGTCATCAATGAACAGCAAACTGGTTTGGTTGCTCGACTTGTCATGCAACACGCTGCGCACACGAAATCCTCAGTTATTGGTCAGCTCCTAGTTCAAAGAAACGCCCGTGGTCGTGCTCACCAACTGTATCTGGTCAAAACACTCTAACGCTTTGGATTTCCCAGCAAGACTATACACAGTGTTCGCGAACTTTTCTTTAACGCCCGCATGAGGAACAATGTCAATGGACATGGACACCTCACAGGTCTTTCATAGAAAACGTTGTTTACGACAAGGCGATCCGGTGCCCCCTATACTTTTCAACTTAGCTTTGGAACCACTACATACTTCGAGGGCGGTCCAAGACGACAATCTGATCCAGAGCTACAAGTTTACCCCGATCCAATCAGGTCAAGTGTCCATCCCCTCCCGTTTCCCCATAAAAACTTTGGCGTACGCTGACGATATTATTGTTCTCTTTCATGATCCGCACAATCTACGCCCACTTTTGATCCATTTAACGGATTATCAATGGGGATCTGATGCACGATTGAACAAGCCCAACACGTAAGCTATTTCGTTGGCAGGATCACCACGACCGGGGGAACAGTGTTCTACAAGATGCGGTTATAATCCCCACTTGCCATGATCGCACTCAAAGCCGATCCCGTTGCGCACCTTGGCTACCCTTTGGCTATTCGCACAAATAACTCAAAACATATATGAATAACTTCTTGGAGTCTATCTAAACAAGCTGCAATATCCACCAAAACCGAGGCCTCTCCGTCCGCGGCCGCGCTACCGTATAAAACACTTTGCTTCTGTCTAAGCTTTGGCATGTTCTCAGTATTGTTGGCGTTACTGAGCACGCCTTTGATCGGCTCCTATATGATGGCACGCATTTTTCCGCATATCGCCTACACCAAACTCTGCCAATCTCGCACTCAAGGTGGAGTCGGACTCTTGGACCCTGCGACTCAACAGAATGACGAATTGAATTTCAATTAGGCATTGCATGAGTTATACTTTGGCGTATGATATGCGGGTTTTTTTATATCTGACATTTGACATCTTTTATTTTGGCGCATTTGGTCCTTTGATATCGTGTATATAATTAGATGGGATGAACTAGTAATTCATAGGGCAAAGAGGTATACTTTGTTGAAAGTTCCTTTTAACGCCTGCCTTCGCGCTCTTCGATAGGTTAAGAAATGAACTATATGGCGGTGTATACAATATCTTTAATCCACAGGCTTCCACTGCTTCTTTGAGGTTCTTCACACAGTGAATATGTACCAGTGGTGTCCAAATTAACATCTTGTGTGCCAGGCATATTCCAAAATGTGACAAGATGATTTTATTTTGAAGTTAGTATAGCAACATACACACGCTGTGGGAAAAATTTTGGTTGATTCTTGTGGATATTGGTGAACTCTGGTTAAATCTGGTGACGACGAACAGTGCGATTGTTGAATATGGTTATTTATGGTTAATTATATGATAATTTTATTACAGATACAAAAAAAAATACAAGACAACCAGATCAGTCACTCTTGTTAAAATGGTTATTTCTCGTATATTCCTATGAGTATACCCAACTTTTAAACAGAAACGCGTCTGTCAGCGTGCATGAAGCATAAAAATACGGACAGTGATAAAGGAGATTGTTTGCCATGCATTACGGGTCAATCAGTTTTATTCATAAGTACGCACGTCCTATCACTACGCGTACATA